GAACTCAAGAATGCTCTCCCTCAAAAAAACAAACAAAAAAAAAACACATAACAGCTGTACTAATTCACAGTAATTTATAACCAACTCTTGTCAATATTCACTCGGTTTGGTTATTTTTTCGGGATATAGATTACATTTTTCACAAACAGGAAGTTTCTCCTTTGAAACGAGAATCACAGAAACTAGAAGTCGGTTTTAAAACAATTCAGTCTGGGAGTCACAATACCAAAAAAGTGCAAACATCTCATTAAAGACAATCTATTCAACCTTTAATACAAGGGCTGCATTAATTCAGATAAGATGAGAATTTTTCTTTAATCTTTTTTTTTTTTTACATTTAATTTCTTAACCTCAAATCCTTTCACCCTTTCATAGAGTACACGGTTTGGGTGGAGCATCACAGAATCCACCGTGAGTTTTACTGTGAATCAAAGGAAAACAGTAACATTCTTTAAAGACACAGTTACAAAACATGCCAGTAAAGAAATCAAGTCCTGGGCCAGGTCAAAGGTCAGCCCTTGATCTCACTGCGGTGGCTTGGAACAGAATGTACCTACAGAAAACCTTTCAAAACCATCCCAGCTAAAAGTAAGACGTAGTACCCGTCTGTTTCCAATGTCACAGACTGGTAGATGTCTGCAAGAAATGATTTAACTTTAAGCTAAAAACACTTTTTATTCACATATTCCATTGAACAGATAAACCATTGCGTTATTTTAAGTACATTTAAATCTCTTGAGCTTTTACATGCATATATTTGAACACAATAAAGAACTCTATATTGATCAAAGTGTCCTAATTGTTTCATATTACTGTATTTTTACGACAGCACTGATCACGTTAATAGAGGAAATCAAACCGTCCGACTCCACATCCCGTATTAAATGGATATTTAATTCCTTTGTTCGCCACTAAGACGGCTTTTGTCTTGCAGGACTTTAAGACTCTTGGGGGGATTGCTTCAGGCTCTGTTGGGTCCAGGCTGACTGCAGCCAAACAAACCAGCAGATCCAGAGTCAGTGACTAATGAGCTGTGATGCAGCTCAGTGCTGGACATGAACTGGGTCTGCTGGTGAGCTGAAAGGAACCAGCCAAGCTTCACTCCTGTTACCTTGAGGCTGTGAAGAGTTGAATGGCTTCTTCTATTGGTTATTACTTTTAGCCTGTTGGTGTCAAAGGTTTGAAATGAAATTAAAATATATATTTTTTTATCTTCGGCTGCTCTAAAGTTAGGACCTTGGGGTAAGTGAGTTAAATCTCCAAGGCAAACGCTGTTTGACAAAAAGAGATATAAGTGTAGAAAACCTGAGGTGATATTGAGTTATTAGAAAGTGCTTACATCTTTCACAAAAAATGTTTCCTCTGGGAAATATCCAACCTCACAATAGATAAAAAGCTCTTTCAGAGCTTCAAGACTACTGACTTTAGTCTCGATGCTTCCAGCTTTGGAAGCATTAAGATGTAAATATTAGCTTGCATATCTACAGTAACATTTATTCATGGAAGGGTTTTTCTTAAATTGCACACATTCAGCAACTAGACAGCTGTTTCAAAGTATCTCATAAAAAAAAACTGGTGCTCTAATGTCTGGACCAGCAACATCATCTTGACTGATATCTGCCCAGCAGCACCATTTATTAAACAAAGTGGAGTTTGCTGTTAAAATGTTCACATCTCAACAGGATTAAAAACGTTCCATTTGTGACGCCAACATTTTATTACCAGCTCATATGATCAAGTCAAGTTCATTAGTATAGCACATTTCAGCAGTTTTGTTGAGACTGCACAGTACATTTTATTTATTGTTTGGTGTGTTTTGTTTCATTTTGGATCTAAAATGTCTTCCAGTTCCAGTGTTAAGTGGAAATTAAAGTTCATTGACTTTGATTGTTAGGTTGTACTTGCTCTGTAATGTCTCTATCATTGTATTGGTTAAAGATGGTCTCAAAACAACAATATTATCATTTATTGCAATAATTTCTCGGACAATTTATGGTTGACCAAGATTTGTTCTCAATATAGGCCCTAAAGCTGATAAAAGCATTTTTAAGTCTATTCTGAACTACAACGAGCTCTATGTGAATTTAATATAAAATATAAAAAGACAGGAGAGTGGAGAACAAGACAAGAGTTGGACAGACACGCTGAGGCTGACATCAAGATAGAGGACTAATCTGTCCACAGGCTGTGATTTAAACCCAAGGTGAGCCTCGTGACATTTTGAGCTGATTAGGAATTTCACCAGCCTTAGCCTTTTGTGTTGTGTCAACTGCTTTGACATTGCACTATGCAGTTTCATTATCATGCAGTCACATCTAATAAGGGTGACCATCCTCCAACCTGGTGAGGAACAAGAAAGGAAAAAAAAACCCGACCCCTTTAATCCACAGTGGCCTGGGAGGAGGGCTAAGGAGACAAATCAAGCCTGTAACCGCTAGATAAGTGCGACTGGGCTTTTGGCCCAGAACAAATTGCATTACTGTCACATTATGTCCCCAGTATGCATGAATTAAGCAGTGGCTGGACGACTCTCAACCCTTCCTGTCTGACTCCCCCTCCACCCCCCCCCAAAAAAAATCCTTCTCCTTTCTTTTTATTATTTATTTTCCACCAGGAGGGAGAGACGGACCCCATTCACTGACTTTCTGCTCCTCTTCCTGTCCTATTTGCATGGGGAACAATCTGACACTTTCTCCGAGCCGCTTCTGGAATGTGAGAATTGCTCTGGGAGACGAGTGCGGTTAGTCCATGGCCTTTTGCTGCTGATTCAAGCATTGCGAGTTGAGGGGTGGGGGTTGATTTCGTAGTCAGAGTGACTCTTCAGCCGACTCTGCAGATATGCATTTCTTTTTTTCCACTCAGGTCAAATGTCAGCTTTTTGTTCGTTCTCGGAGTAGAGCATGCAACTCAAAGTGGAAAAAAGAGAGAGCTGTTGTTGCTTTGAAAGCAACGGGGAAAAAAACAGCCAAAGACTTCTGGGAATACGCTTCCTTGGTCTCCCACCGGCAAGTCTAAGAGCTCCGAGCAGACCTGAAGTGAAGCGCTTTGTCATGCTAAGACTGACATGTTGTCCAAACATATTAATGGTGAAGTACGTCCCTATGGTCACTCTGCAAAGTGGACAAAAGCAGAAACAACCCTCCAGGGATGGAGCTGTCTGTCTCAGTCTCGTCCTTCCAGCACGTGTCCCCTCTTGTGTCCAGACTTGGCTGCTGATGAAGTCTTTTAGGTAGACAAACATTCCCTCGGAGTAGTCCAGAGTTCAGGAAAGTCACATCCTCCAGACACATGTGCGGCCGAGATAGGAGTTGGGCTGAGGGGGCTGAGGGGGGCCGAGCGACGCGAGGGGAAAGGCAGAACAATGCAGAGACACACACCGCGCTTTCGACCGTCCACGTCTGTCTAATCGTTTGTTTCCTGAGTGATTCAGCCGAGGGATGACACAATGAGGTAGGAAAAGAGAGTTCAAATCAGCACGCATCGACTTGCTATTTAAAAAGCGGGAGGGGAAATCGGACCGGCACGCGGCAACAATGCGAGGCACCACAGCGCCTGTGCGGCACACTTCCTCGTCGTGTCATCCCTCTCTCCTCTCTGCTGCTATTAGCGCTGAAAGCAGACTATTCTTAGCCGCAGGTGAATTATAGATGAGATGAAAAGCTCATAATGATATTTAGCTGATCGAGTATCGCGCCGAAATGCCACTTAAAGTGTGATACGGCTCGCTGGGACGGCGAGCTTTCCTCGCTGACCTCTCCCCGAAGGCGCTCAGCGAAGCAACCAGACGAGGTAGAGAGAGGTGGTGGTGGGGGCTGTTGTTGGGTGGAGGGTGGAGGGGTTCATTTCATCGAGGCGGCTGAGCAGACGAGATATGAGGCGGCCAGCGTGGGTGACACACAAACAGCCGTGGTCAATGGGGGCAACCAGCAGGGAGAAACACTGTCTGGGTGTAGATAATAAGCTACCGCCTCGCCTGGTTATTGCACCACGACCAATGGCAGATCCACCCCCCACCACCGCCGTCCCCGGAAACCCAAATCCTCTGTCACTTAAAGGCAGAACCGACCCATCGGTGTCCAACACGTGACTCGGCCAGGTATGTGTCCTGGTAATTTTGAATTTTATGGCTTTGACTTTTCGCTGAATTTTAAACACGTCTCAGGGAGAACTGGGTTACAGCCTCATAGAAGGGACAGATAAGAGTCCGACAGTCAGCTGTAAATGTGAAGTTCACGCGTGCCGCTAATATTTTCCTGGCCGGATGTACAAAACGTCACCTTTACAAGGTTATGCGCCTTCATCAGATCAACGTTATCTATGAGCGAGACATGATGTATTTCCTCACGCATTGTTCGGCCTATCTCAAGTCTTGACCCTGACACAAAGCAGGTCAAACAAGAAAGGGCACAGTTGCATTTTCAGCAATGACATTAATCATTTTCTTACAACAGTTGAGGTTCAATAGTCTCTCTCCTTTCACATAGAGATTGGAGCAGTCCCAATCCTATGTGGATATGATTGGTTAAACAACGGAGAAGACATTCACAAACCTAGTCTGTGTATTCCTTTGTAGGCATTGTGCTAAGGTTGAAAAAGCTGTCTGTTCATGAGAAGCTCAGGAGTTTACAAAGAGGTTAAACCTGATCACCAATCCCAAGAGGATGGCGGTTTCCAAAAGGATCTAAATTGTAATTAATCCAGACAAGAAACCAGGAGTAAAGGTTGTTTCAGTTGAATTAGACTGAATCAATGCAGCGTCGTTGTCACTTGATCATTCATGATAAAGGATTACTGGCGAAGTCAGTGACTCCATGACCTTCTTTAGACAGATTTGATAGACTTTTTACCCATCTATCTTCCTGTGCTATTGTGTAGGTACATCTAAAAATTAGAATATTGTGGAAAAAGTTCAATATTTTTGCCATGGATTTGCATGGATTTATAACACATATTTCTGTAATTTGGATGATTGTGACTTATGAATAATGAAAATGCAAAAGTTAATGTCTCTAAAAATGTAAATATTACATAAAGTTGATGAATAAATTTGCATAAAGTACTGGCAATGTGGCATTGAGGTGTTCAGGAAGCCCACGTTGCATTGGTTGCAGGTTTCAAGAAGTCTTCATTATTGCATCTGGTGTCTCTCATCTTCCTCTTGACAGTCCATGGAGTCTCTCTGGGGTGAAAGGTCAGACTAGTTTGCGGGTCAACTTCACACAGGAACACCATGGCCAGCTTTTGGTACCTTGTAAGTGAGGCCAGGTTCCACGACCTGTTGGAAAATGAAAACGTCTCCTTTAAGCCGGTCAGCAAACCGAAGCATGAAGCTCTCTCAAATGTCCTGGTAGACGACTCCGTGGACTGTGGACTGCAGAAAACCCCGAAGACCAACACCGGCAGATGACATGGCTCCATCACGGATTGTGGAAACTCATCTCAGACTTCAAGCATCATGGCTTCTGTACCTCTCCACTCTTTCTCCTCTTCCTTCCAGAAACTTTACTTTTAAACCACTGAGCAAAAGTCCCGTTCTTTTTCTCTACTGAGTTCAGGTAAGACGCATCGGACGTTGTCTCTGGCTCACGAGTGGCTTGACTCGAGGAATGTTTGGCACACAGTTCATTGAATCCTGTTGCAGTGAAATTTATCCAAGTTTCAGCCCATTGACGCATTTGGCAGATTTAGCATGAAACGGAGGATTAATCTGTGGAAAAGCACTTCATGCCTGTTGTTGTGAACGGTGGAGAATCCGTAACGCTGCAGGCCTGTTTCTTCTCCAAAAGGCCCTGGGAACCCTATTAGGGTGCATGGCATCATGAACCCTGTGAAATACCAAGACATTGGAAAAAAAATACAGACACACAAGATACAAAAATAACCTTCCAGGGCCCCAGACATAAATCATATAGAAAAACTATGTGGTGAGCTGAAGAGAAAAGCTCATAAGAGAAGACCCAGGACTCTAGAGAGAGTGTGTAAAGAAAATACAGTATTTTCCACTGCATGCTCCAACCTTGTGATATTGTGTAGAAAGAGACTAAGTGCTGTTATATTACCAAAGAAGGGCGTATTCAGATCAGCACTACCAACAACTGTGCAAAAACAGGCATTCCTTAAAGTGGATTATTTTTCCTCCCGTGAGTAAATGTACTCAAATTAAGCATTCTGTTTTACTTGCAGTTTCAATGTGAGAATATATGGTGCTGCAATAAAAAAGCACATTTATTTTAAAGCTTTCTACAGATCTTAACCAGGGTTGCCAATAAAAGTTTCCAGTACTATATGTGTGTTAATTACCTCCTGCGGGATTTTACCCATGCAGCTATTGCCACTTTGAAAGCCTGCCTGCATGCCAAATGCAACACGACCCATGCAGGTGGGGCCCCGCATCTCCCAACAGGCCAGCTCTCAAGGTGCACAGCAATTATGCATCAAGAAAAGTTTCCTCGTGAATACTAAAGACATCGGCGCATCTCGAAGGCAGTGCTGTGGGAAAAGTACTTGGCCCTCGAAGATTTCTCTGTCGTACTTGCAAGCTTCACATCAATCAACACATTTTTAAACAAATGCCAAATTTCAGAGAAATATAACCCAAGTAAATAGAAAAAGTAGTTCTTTCACTTGTTTAGAGAAAAAGATACTCAAAAGAACACAAGTAATTTCCCACTTAACTCAAATAAATGGTTCTCTCAACCTAAGTGGCGACATTTGCTATGAAGTGTTTACAAAAATTGGCAAAAGATCTTTAATATTGCAGTCCGGTCTTTATTTTTATTCAGTCAAAACCTGTTTAAGCTCCTCTCACTGTATCTCATTTGGATTTAAGTCCAAACTTTGACTGAGCCGCTGCAAAATCTGTGTTTTGTTTATGCTTTGTATCATTGACCGGCTTAATATGCTTGATCCTAAAGTTAGGAAATCATACCTGGACATTTTCCTTCTGCTATGGAGCAGCAAAAAAATATAATGAATTTATCATTCATTCTGATATGAAGTGTAGCTCAAACTGTCGTTATCATGTTTTACTGTCAGTTCAGTGTTAGTTTTCAGAAATGCTGAACAGAACACAAACCTTACAAAAAGTTAAACTTTTTTTTGCTCCTTATTTTCCCAATAACTCTATGAAGCCACGAAAAATAATCTTTGGCATATCTGAGACATGCCTTTGTGTCCATTTTAGTGGTTTTAACTTTTCATGTAGGCTTCTGTTGCTTAGTTTCTTTCTTATTGTTGCTTCTTGAACACTGACCTTTACTGAAGCAAGTGAAGCCTGCAGAGCTCAACGTGTTGGTCTGGGATGAGTCATCTTTACTCTCTTGGAGTCCATATGTGAATGCCAAATGGACCTAACACCGCTTTAAAAGCAGGAAGTGAATGAAAGCGCATGGCATTCTGGGTAAATGCAATAAAACAAACACACAGGTCTAGCGCTAGCGGGAGAAATGACTCCTTATCTTTCACCAACGACAAAAGTGAAAATCATACGACCATTAAAATCTGACGCCACTCGATTTTTGTTGTGCTCAATGTCTTCTTCAGAGGTTTTTATGCTGTTTTCTTTATCAGTTCTTGGTGCAGCGCCACCACAGGCAAGGAGGGGAACAGCTTTTTCAAAGGGTTTGGTTGGTTTGCCACAGAGCAGCATGAAAACGAAGCACATCAGTTGAAAACGTAGCAATTGTTGCAATTTTGGTGTCCACTCAAAACCGAGTACAGAGACAGAACCGAGACAGTCCAGCAACAGCTCTAGCAAGTTGCTGTTTTAGATCTTTCAGCCTACTTCATGTTGTCAGTCAGGTTCTACTTCAGTGATTCCTGGCAGGAGTCAACACTTAGAGTGGCTAATCAAATCGATTAAAACAAAAATGGTTATAGGGTCACTTTTTCACGCACATTATTTCGGATAATTTATTCCTTCTATATGTAGAAAACCACAATTTGATAACATTATTTTGCATTATTTAAGAATAATACAGAAACCTCTAAGATGAGAAATACCGCAGCACAGAATCTGAGTCGCGCTGTAGAACATTAACGGAGACGAGAACCCGTTTGAAAGTGGATTTGGGAAGATTTGTGAAGTGGTTTTTAAAAGGCCTAAAGAAGTCACATGCTGTTGGATAGTAAATGTTTTCACAGCTTCTTTTCATTGCAGCGGCGCATAAATTCAACATGACAGATACTGGAGAGAGTCTGGTCTGCCCTTCACAGGCGTCCCCTGGAAACAAGAGGAACACAACTCCTCTGCAGTTTAATTCGCACCATGTTACACACGTTATTATCTGTGTGGAAATAAATCACACGTTCACACTGTAAATACGTTTGCCCAAGGAGTAGCTGGGCGCGCTGGGGAAAACGCTGGAAGGTTACCGCCACAGAACACGATGAAATCGAACCTCCAGAAATAATAATAATATTAAAAATAATAGGAACGCACATGGAGCTGGAAGCGTCTAAACGAAATCGAAGGGGTGTGGAGGAAACCCTGGCAGGACAAAGAGCGGCGCACGTAAACGTAACCGCGTCCCTCACAAAGCAGCTTTTTATTTACGAGCTCTCATTAGCAAATGACTTTCACACGGCCCTGTACGCCATAGCCTCCCCGCTCTCGTGTTATACCGCAGAAAAGAAAATCCACACAGTCACCGTCCTGGAAAATATAGTCATAAATGCTGCGAGTTCTCAGGGTGCTGTAAAAAAAATTTTAAGGAAAAAAAAAAAAAGAATCCTCCAGTGTTCATCCAAATCGGCACAATTAACCTGCAGGAGAGAGAGCTGAGTTTCATTTCATTACCGCCCACAGGCAGGGCGGCGGGCATCTGTTCAGAGAAGGGCCCTGTTTAGGGGCCCCCCACCCCCGATGCGCACAGACCGACTGGCTCGCACCGTTCCGCTTTTGCAACGGCTTCGACATGAAAGAGTCGCTCTCCTGCTCAGAAAAACAATAAAATATGAACAAAGATGTGGTGAGCTCTTTTTTCTCTCTCTCTTTCTCTGCTTGGAAATGCTGCTTCAAGTTTGTTAACATTTCATTCCGAGGCCTCGAAGCTTCGTTTCGTCCTCTACACACCGACAACAGAGTCGCCGTGGTGAAAACACAGACGCTACATGGCGTCCCAGAGGGTAACGCGTCGGGAGGACAGTGAGTTACCACAACTTGATGCTGGCATCGTCATCAGAGGGTCGCTCTGGATGGAAACGTTGCTTTCTTTGGACACGACGACACTGTTCAGTTCTTCCACGTCACATCCCGGAAAGGTTTCCCTTTCAGTCAGATAAAAGCCATAGACTTGTCGATTTTATCGGGGTTGTATGTGATCTATTTAAATCAGATGTCTTGAGTTAGTTGTTTCCTTCACTCTAACTCAGACTCCGTTCACATGGAGGCGATTTTAGGTGTATGTGCAACGTTTGCTGCCCATCCAGAGAAAGGAGCTGAGTGGGGAAGTCACTACATTCCAGGGATGTTTTTGAGGAGGGAATAACTTTTTAACATGATGTAAAGCTAAACAAAAAAATCATTTTACAGAACACTGCCCCTTTAAACAATACTGCTTTAGCTCTACTTATCTTTCTCTCCCTCGATCTCATAAAGAACCAGTATGGCACCATTTGCTGTTTTTGTGTGTGTGTGAGTGAGTGTGTGTGTGTGTGTGTGGTTCTCTAGCATTGTCACAGGGCCACTAATTAACCAAATGCCTTGAGTTACCTACTACATCATGTTCTGTTGCACCTCAACCTGCCGTGTGGCAGGCTGTGGTGCACAAATGCAAAATTTTCTGCCTGACTTCCAGAAAGCCAGAGATCCAGAAGTCATCAAATGTGGAAGATCCTCTGGTTCACCATCCCACAGAACGACGACCCCTAAACACGCAGCAGCTCCAAGTGACGGGATTGTCATTTGGATTTTATGACAATCACATCTTAAGATGGCCCAGTCAAAGTCCAGAACAAAACCTGCAATAATCCTATTACGTCTATTTTTTTTTTTCAACTTTACAATTATGTAGGCCAATATTTTGTGTTGGTCTGTTACGTTAACTCCTGCCTAAAAATCACAAAAATCATATTTATTTTCTTAACTTTCTTGATGTCACTTGTTTTATATTTCTCTCAAAACCTAATATCATTTATTTAGCCTTTTGTTTTTAATTTGATGGCTTTTCAGAGCGTGAATACTTTAATATCCTGCAGGATGTCTCTGCTTCATGCAACTGTTGAACTCCCCCTCCGCCTTCACTTCCAGAAAGGCAGGCTGTGTGTTTACTTTACGACCTGCTTTTCTTTTTAAAGCTTGTCAAAACCAAGAGGCAAACCGCAGCAGCGCGGCTGCAGGCAGCTGTAGTGCATAAAGTTCAAAAAGCAATTAAAAATAGATTTTACAGAATCCTGTAATGAAATGGCAGACTGCATCTTAAGGTTCCCTGTGACAGCTTTTCTATGTTTAAAGAATGTGCAGAGATAACACAGCGCTCTGAGAAAGAAAGAAAAAAAGTATATCAAAGGAAAATGACAAAACTGTCCATAAAAGAGTTATGGCTGAAAAAACAATCGGGTGACGCAAAACAGCTGGAGGAACGCAGGAAATGAGCAAATCTGCATGAAATTCAGCTTCACGTGTTTCCATCAGCCACACAAACACACCTTCACAGGACCAGATGATGTGTGTGCACCAGAATGATCGTTCCGTTAATGTTTTCTCTTTTGTTTGCAGATCTGTGCAGGTAGGAAGTGGCAAAGATCACTTGCATTACTTTGGCCCCTGTGGGCCCCTAAGGGCCCATATAGAGTTGCAGCGGTATTTTCTTCCTCTCTCCTGTTGATGTCATAGTCCTGCAGAGAACAAAGCGAGAGTGTTTCCTGTTGATGTTAGGATGCTAGTGGCCGTCTGTGTGTGCAAAACCCCCACCACACACACACACACGCACACACAGACACACACACACATATATATAAAACATAAACATAACACCCAGTGACTGCACCTTCACCCTCCCTCTGAACAGAGTCCCTACATGGGGATGCACTATGCCGGCTTCCTGTCCAGCACTGCAGATCTCACTTTGCTGCAGCTCCCAGCGTGGGCTTGAATATTCCCAGTGAAAGTGCAGAGAGTTAATGGAGCAGAAGCATGAAGCCTCTCACCGACCAATCAGGCTGCAGGATGGGGAACATTCCCTGGCTTTAGGCTGAAGCCTGGCTGAGTGGAAAGACTCGGACTGGCATTGTTTTGATGCAGGTTCATTACGATTGTCAACGGTTCTAGAGCAGGTCAGAAAACTGAAAGTTACAGAGTATTTTGTGTACTTTGTGTAAAACTTGTACATCCATCCATCTATCTGTCAGTCATCCATCCATCATCCGATCCAACATCTATCCATTTGTCCATATATCCGTCAATCATCCATCCATCTGTCAATCATATAATCTAATATCCATCCATCCATCTTCCTCTCACTGTGTTTTTTCCGTCTCCCGTATGTAAAGCCAGACTTTTATAGAACTATCTGACCTAAATTCAAGGTGATTTTTCAGTTCAAACTCTAATAAATTGGTCTATAAAGCAGCTAATAGCTGGAAATTAAAGCATGGCGCTTGAATATAAAGAATGAGTGGGAACTTTGCTTAGAACAACATACTCACGCTTGGGGACCTGAGGCCACACAGCAGCAGTTGCCCTTTGTTACTGTATGTTCCTGGAATCGACTGTATGCTCAGCTTGAGAAGTGCTTAAACGTGATGAGGTTACCGCCGTTATAAATAAGCAGAGAGGGGAGAAAGGCACGCGAGGGAAGTTCTGAAGCGTTCAAAATGTTGCATCATCCGCCCGGCAGTGCGCTTCCGATCAAACGCTCATTTCATTGGCTGGTGTGGCAGGAAGTGTTCGGATAGACACCGTCCTGCGCCCGGAGTCTGAAACGCCCTCTGTAGTGTCAGATAAAACGGAGCCCTGTGTGCACAGATGGGGACCCACGCGGGCCCCGCCCCGCCTCCGACTTTAATGCCAGTAAATTGGTGTCTTGGCGGTCGCTCTCTCTCTTTTGAGCTCCCGTTCGTCGCAGGCTGTGTTTAGCTACAGAAGGTCACCCGTGTGTGCAGGCGCCTCGTTTTGCGCCCGGTATCTGGGCGTGTGAGAGCACAGCTTGTCTCCTGCTGTTGACTCTGGCTCGGTGACAGTCCGAGTGCCGCGCTGGTCAGACGTGTGGGAGTCGAGGCCCCCACCTGCTTTTTTTTTTTTCTTCTTCTTCTTTCTTTTTGTGGGGAAAATGAATATTAATAATTCAAAAGGGAGGGATCTCGATCTCGGCGGCTGTTAAGCGTTTACCGCCAGATGAGCTGATATCGCCTCCGCATGA